TCCTCAACCCACTAAGATACCTCATGCTTCCCCCTCCCTTCCTGCCTTGCAGGACTCACGTTGAAAAGATCCGTCTCCTCTGCCACGCTTCCTCCTGTTGCCTGGCTCTAAGGCTGGGGGACTCTTCCATGTCTCTCCAATAGTCCGATGCAGGCCCCGGAGGCCTTCTCCAGATCTAGGCAGCAGCGGCCTGGAAAAGGCCTCTGGCACCCAGATTGGGCCACTGGAGGGCCACAGAAGCGTTCCCCTGTCTTCAGATCCAGGCGTCAGCAGTTTGGAAAAGGCCTCAGATGCTCCGATCCAGCCTCCAAAGGCAGGGGGAAGTGTCCCGTGGCCTCAGATCCGGGTGGCAGCGCCCTGGAAAAGGCCTCCAACGCCCCGATCCAGCCTCCGGAGGTACGTGGAAGTGTCCCCGGCTTTGGTTCCGTTCTCTGTTGCAGAGAACAGAGGCCTAAAGTAGTATGAGATCACGTGAGACCACTAGCGTGAGATCTTGCCCCAGTGATCTCCCGTGATCTTGCATTACTTTAGGCTTTCATTCTCTGTGAACGCATTGAAAGCTTGTAGCAGCCAAGAAAGTGAAGGTGATGTGTCTGACTAATGAAACACTTCAAAGAACTTTCAGGCATGGTTTAACCTAAAAAAGCCTTTATTAGTGTAGAGGAGTGTCAGCACAGCATGATGGATGCCAAGATCTGAATTTCCCTTCCCTTTGCACATAACATTCCAGGCATTTCCCCTCCCCTATTTTGGGGTCATGATTCACATCTTCCAATTAACATGGAGGGCAAAGATTCACTTCCATTCCTTTTCCCTGGGCTTTCCTTACTAATCTCCTCCCTTTTCTCTGTCATCTGAATTAACTCTAAAAATACCAGACAGTTCTGCATACTTTGTCAAAGCAAGAATATTCAATATTAGCAGAAGGATTTCAATCTTCGCGGGGTGAGTATTGAAGGCCTGGTACCTAGGGAGATCCAGGGTAGAGGTGGGGAGGGAGGGAATAACCAGGGTGAATGTTGCAGAGCCTCTGCGGTCGCTCATAAGGGCAAACGACTGCCGTGCTGCTGCAATATTTGTAATTTTGGGACTTGCTTATAAGCACTAATAGAAAAACCCCTGTTTCTTTCTCTGCAGCTATGTGATTTTGGCAAGAGAAAATGAATAGTAAAGGGAAATTAGTTTGGATAGAAAAAAAGGACTTGTTACAAAATTGTTTCAGTTCTGAGAGGTCTCTGCTGAAATTAACACACTCCAATAAATCTTACGTTATCTCCTAATATCTCCTTGACTGTTTCCCCTAATTATTCCTTAACTGAAAACTAACTTTGAGTGAAATTTCGGGGTGTTTCTCTGAAAATAAGCATTAGCTTGATTTTTATCCATGCGCTGAATATAAACTCTATGCCAAAAATAACCCCTAGTTAAGCCTCTGTCTTACTGTCTCGTTGTTTGCGGCTGCAACAGGGCAGGAAAGTGCATAACACCACCATGAGATGAGGTAGGTGGTGGGAGAGGTGCCCCATGTGTCCCATACCCGTGTACCTCAGGGCCCCCGCAACCAGGCCACTCCCCACTGGTGACCTCTCCCCGCCTATTCAATGATCCGGCTGTGTACCTGCTTCTTTCCTTTCACTTCTCCCTGAGGTGGAGTGCCATACTACGGAGTATGGGTGGGAGAGAGGCTCGGTCCCCTCACCCGGTCCCCCTCCACTGTTTTGGAGCCAGGAGGGAGTTATGGCAAAAGGCTTCTGCCACTGCTGAGCATCAGCTACGTCCGCTGCTGGAGGGGCTTTTTTGGATCCCTGCTGCCTTGCCCCTCAGATCATGTGTCTGCTGGAGGCTGTCTCCTCCACCAGCCGCCTCAGGAGGGTCGGGGAGGGTGCTGAAGCTACCAGGCATCCTACCTGCAGCACCTGTGCCAGGCTGCCCCTTCTGCATCAAAGCTGGAATGCCACTCCATTTCAGTAGATGCCAGCTTTGCCCTCCAGTGGGCCTGGGCAGTTAGTGGAGAGAGACGGGCCCGTTTCAGCACCTGGAGCGGTTGGGGGTTTACTTGCCACTTGTTTTACAGCTCCGTTGTATTTGTCCGCCGCCATGGAGCTGGAGAGCTTGGTGTTCCAACGCCCAGTTCCCCTTGCTTCCCCAAAGCATTCACTAGCCTGCTTTTCAGCTTCGTTGTGTTTCTCTACTGCCGCAGAGCTGGACAGCTTGGCACACCACCGCCCAACTCCCATCTCTTCCCCAAAGCATTCCTTCACTAACTTGCTTTCCAGCTCGGTTGCATTTCTCCATCGCCTCATGTAGAGAAACAAAAGTTTGTGAGGCTAAAAAAAAGTTCAAAAAAAATTCAATCAGACCTTCCAACTTTTCGAGATCTTTTTGTGTGTGTGTGTCTGAGAAGTTGGAAGGTCTGATTGACATTTTTTTAGGGGGGGGGTCCCACAAACATCTTTTGTTTCCCTGCACGTGCGGCGGCGCAGAAATGCAATCAAGCTGGAAAACAGGTTATTGAAGGAATGGTTTGGGGAAGAGGGGGGATCTTGACAGTGGTATGGCAAGGTGACGGAGAAATCTGATGGACATGGAAAGCAGGCTAGCAAATGAATGCTTTGGAAAAGCGAGTGGAGCTGGGCAGTAATGTGCCAAGCTCCCCAGCTCCGCGGTGGCAGAGAAACATGGTGGAGAGTGGAAGGTTACTATGATTTGGGGCCAGGAATAGAAGCTAAGCATGTTTTTGGTAGAAAGTGGGTAACCCACCTTAACTGCTTCTTTTTAGCAACCCAACAGTTTGGTTGCTAAGCGCCCCAAACACTTTTCACCCAGACCGTGAAATGACGGAGACTGAAAGCTTCTTCTGCTTGCAAATGGGGCGGTTTCCAAGCAGCTCTTGCTTGTAAAGCAAAATCCTCTCTTCCTAAGGCAGTAGCAAACACAGCTAAACCTGGGGGGGAACCAGCTGTTCTCTCTTATAAGGTGAAACCCTTCTTTTTTTCCAGCATTAACATAACAGTAACAGCTTAATTTGGGGGAGAGAGCCAGCACGTTTGCCTTATTTTGCAGAGTATTAGCATACACTGTAACACAAAGCCTTCTTTGCTTTGGCGCTTCTAAACTTGTAAGAGGAGCTATGTGTCCCCATCCTGACTTGCTGCTCCAGCAAAGGAACACCCCCTAGCCCTTTGTTTAGCCAAAAAAGTATTTTATTAAAGCCAAAGTGGTTACAAGAGCAGTGAAGCTGGATCTGGCATTTTTGCATGCAAAAGATGCAATTAACTTTCCCTCCCCCCCCCCCCCGGCCATTCCCTTGTTATAAGCCAATGATGGCGAACCTTTTAGAGACCGAGTGCCCAAACTGCAACCCAAAACCCACTTATTTATCGCCGGGTGCCAGATGGACGTGGCCCACTGGGTGGGCATGGCTGTGGTGGTCATGGCAGATTGGGTGGGAATGGCCAAGGTGGGCATGATCACCTCGATGTTGCTCGTGGGGAGGGACGCCTGTGGGGGCCAGCCAGGGTTGGGGGAGATCCAAGGGGTCTCTGCCAGGTGGGGCGGTGGGCAGGAGGCTGGTCCTGCGGGGTGAGGCAAGGCGAGGCGGGGGGGTACCATTGTTACAGGGCAAGGTGTGGCAGGGGCAGAGGCGGCTGCTGCCTGACACCATCGACCTCTGTACTCAGAGGCCAGCGAGCGCATGGGTGCTGGGATGTATCCAGCCATGTGGATCCTTGGCGAGTTAGTGGGCGGCTGGTTGAAGAGGGACAGTTGCCATCTCCAGGGCATGGCCTCTGTGCCCACAGAGAGGGCTCTGAGTGCCGCCTCTGGCACTCATGCCATAGGTTCGCCACCACTGTTATAAGCTAATATCCAGTTAGGTGTTTAGATTTTGCTTGGGGAATGCAGGCTTTCTAGTTCTGCATTCAGATGTTTAGATTGGCTGATGCTTCTAATGCCTCGGGCTGGCATGGCTTGATTTCCATCCCATCCCGCTTCCTCCTTACATTCCAATCCTCTCTTCCCTTCCCCAATTGATAATGTCAGGCTTTCAGCTTGCAATACTTGGCTTGCAGAATGTCATCCATAACACTGTGTTTTAGACTTTGTGTCCTTTAATTGTCAGGATAAAGGAGGGAAAAGAAACAGTCCAGGTTTTAGCAGCTTCTCTCGTTGCATCTTCCTAAAGCCCCATTGGCCAAAATGAAAGAGCAGCATTCTTCCTGCTCTTGTTGGAAGCGGCACCTTCACTTTAGCAGTAATTACCCACTGAGCGAAGAGAAGCAGCCTGCTCCTTAGAAAACTGAAGGCATTTTACGAATGTATGGGTGGAGTAGGCATAGGGACTCATTCATAGAACAGGATCCTCTTTCAAATCCTCGAGGTACAAATATAATCGGCAGGCTCCATTACATTTGTAGCTCAACGATTATCTGTATATTGCAATTTCGCAAAAATTTAGAAGGTAATTCACTTTCTACAGTTTGATCTTTTCCCCTAACCTTGTTATCATTTTCATTTCTCTTTTCCTTTGGAGGCAATAATGGGCAGGAGAATAAAGATTCTGAGGAGCCATTCCAAGTGATCCACCATGAAGAAAGAATAAAGAAACGTATAGTACAAATGGAAGAAGAACATTATGAGAGAAACCAGTTGAGTAATTGGAATCAGGGCAGTTCATCAACCATTCATGCTTCAATGCAAGATCTTCTTCTCCATCAAGGGACAATAAAGAAGAAATGCATTGGGAAAAGTGTAAAGTTAATCAAAGCTAAATTGCATGTAAATGAACATTGTCCAATCCAAAACAAAGGCGAAGATGCTGTAAGTAGACACAGTGGGAAAAAATACAATGGGACTTTCACTCTTTTTCTTGGAAATAAGTCCCTCACATCTCAAAAAGGGATTGACACAGAAGAGAAGCGTTATAAATGCTTAGAATGGGAAAATAATTTTAGAAAAAACAGACAACTTATTGTCCATAAAAGGATTCACACAGGGGAGAGACCATACAAATGTGTTGACTGTGGAAAACTCTTCTGTCAAAAGTCTTCCCTTACTTACCATCAAATGATCCACACAGGGGAGAAACCGTATAGGTGCATGGAGTGTGGAAAAACCTTTGCTTGCAGCAGTCGACTTACTTCGCACAAAAGGATCCACACAGGGGAGAAGCCGTTTAAATGTATGGAGTGTGGAAAGACCTTTGGTCAGAGCAGCCATCTTACCTCCCATCAAAGAATCCATACAGGGGAGAAGCCATTTAAATGCATGGAGTGTGGAAAGACATTTAGTCGGAATGATTATCTTACTGTCCATCAAAGAATTCACACAGGAGAGAAGCCATTTAAATGCATGGAGTGTGGAAAGACCTTTATTTCGAACGGACATTTTACTGCCCATCAAAGAATCCACACAGGGGAGAAGCCATTTAAATGCATGGAGTGTGGAAAGACCTTTATTTCGAACAGTCATCTTACTGCCCATAAAAGGATCCACACAGGGGAGAAGCCATTTAAATGCATAATGTGTGGGAAGACCTTTGCTCGGAGCACTCAACTTTCTTCCCATCAAATAATCCACACAGGGGAGAAGCCATTTAAATGCAAGGAGTGTGGAAAGACCTTTACTAAAATAACTCATCTTACTGCCCATAAAAGGATCCACACAGGGGAGAAGCCATTTAAATGCATCGAGTGTGGAAAGACATTTAGTCGGAATGATCTTCTTACTGTCCATCAAAGGATTCATACAGGAGAGAAGCCATTTAAATGCATGGCATGTGGAAAGACTTTTGCACAAAGCGCTCATCTTTCTTCCCATAACAAGATCCACACAGGGGAGAAGCCATTTAAATGCATGGAGTGTGGAAAGACATTTAGTCGGAACGATTATCTTAGTCTCCATCAAAGAAGTCACACAGGAGAGAAGCCATTTAAATGCATGGAGTGTGGAAAGACCTTTATTTGGAGCAGTCATCTTACTGCCCATCAAAGAATCCACACAGGGGAGAAGCCATTTAAATGCATGGAGTGTGGAAAGACCTTTGCTGATAGCAATCGACTTACTGTTCACAAAAGGATCCACACAGGGGAGAAGCCATTTAAATGCCTCGAGTGTGGAAAGACATTTGCACAAAGCGGTCATCTTTATTCACATAATAAGATCCACACAGGGGAGAAGCCATTTAAATGCATGGAGTGTGGAAAGGCCTTTGCTAGGAGCACTCAGCTTTCTTCCCATAAAAGGATCCATACAGGGGAGAAGCCATTTAAATGCCTCGAGTGTGGAAAGTCCTTTAGTCGGAATGATCTTCTTACTATCCATCAAAGGATTTATACAGGAGAGAAGCCATATAAATGTATGGAATGTGGGAAGACATTTACTCAAAGAACACTTCTTATTTCCCATAAGATGAGGCACACAGGATAGAAGAACCTTTCTCACAGGAGTCAACTTACAATTCATAAAAGGATCCAAACAGATCCAACCCCCTGCTGAGGCAGGAAACCCTATACCATTTCGGACAAGTGGCTGTCCAGTCTCTTCTTAAAAACTTCCAGTGTTGGAGCATTCACCGCTTCTGGAGGCAGGTTGTTCCACTGGTTAATTTTTCTAATTGTCAGGAAGTTTCTCCTTAGTTCTAGGTTGCTTCTCTCCTTCATTAGTTTCCATCCGTTGCTTCTTGTCCTGCCTTCAGGCACTTTGGAAAATAGCTTGACTCCCTCTTCTTTGTGGCAGCCCCTGAGATATTGGAACACTGCTATCATGTCCCCCCTCATCCTTCTCTTCATTAAACTAGACATACCCAATTCCAGCAGCCATTCCTTATATGTTTGAACCTCCAGTTCCCTAATCATCTTTGTTGCTCTTCTCTGTACTCTTTCTAGAGTCTCAACATCTTTTTTACATAGTGATGACCAAAACTGGATGCAGTATTCCAAGTGTGGCCTTACTAAGGCATTGTAAAGTGGTATTAATACTTCATGTGATCTTGATTCTATCCCTCTGTTAATGCAGCCTAGCACTGTGTTGGCTTTTTTGGCAGCTGCAGCACATTGGTGGCTCATATTTAAGTGATTGTCCACTAGGACTCAGAGATCCCTCTCACAGTTACTACTATTGAGCAAGGTACCCCCTATACTATACCTGTACATTTGGTTTTTCTTGCCTAAATGTAGAACCTTACTACACACTTCCCTCCATGTAGATGCAGTTCCATTGAGGACCACATGCTGATATGTCCGGTCAGCCAGCTACGAATCCATCTGGTGGTGATGCTGTCTAACCCACATTTTTCTATCTTACCAAGTAGTAGGTTGTGATCTACTTCATCCATTGCCTTACTGTAGTCCAAGTAAATTATATCTGCAGCATTCCTCTGATCCACTCTTTTTGTCACTTGGTCAAAGAATGCAATAAGATTTGTCTGGCATGATATGTTTTTGACAAACCCATGTTGGCTTTTAGTAATGACTTTGCCTCTAGGTCCGGGGTGTCAAACTGCTGGGGCACGGGCCGGTTTCATCATACCGGAGCCGCGTCCACCCCATTGCCGGCAATGGCAAAATAGTCCTCATACGTCTCGTGACGTCACGAGTTTGACATGTCTGCTCTAGGTGTTCGCTGATTCGTTGTTTGATTATCTTTTCCAGAATCTTCCCAGGTATTGAGGTCAGGTTGATAGGTCTGTAACTTCCTGGATCTATTTTTTTTCCTTTTTTTAAGATGGGAACAACATCAGCTCTTTTCCAGTCCTCTGGTAGTTCCCCAGTGCTCCAGAATCTTTGAAAAATATAGTTCATTGGTTCTGAGATCACATCTGCCAGTTCCTTGAGAACCTTGGGGTATAATCCATCTGATCCTGGTGATTTGAACTCGTCTAGGCTGGGACAGGTGCTCACCATTTTCTTGCCTATCTTAACTTGTGTTTCTATTCTGTTTTTTACGGCTCTATTTTTGATAGGTTGGTCTGTTTTTTCCCTTTGTGTAAAGACAGATGCATGGAGTGTAGGAGGATCTTTACTCAAAGAAGTCATCTTATTTCCCATAATATGAGGCATATAGGGGAGAATAAATGCATGGAGTGTGGAAAGACCTTTACTCAAAGATTTCATCTTATTTCCCATAAGTTGAACCATACAGAGGAGAAACCACACAAATGTATGGAGTGTGGAAACACCTTTCCTGATAGATGTGGACTTTGCACAAAAAGATCAACACAAGGGAGAAGCCATTTAAATGCATGGAGTGTGGATAAACCTTTAGCTGGAACAGTCACCTTACTGCCATCAAAGGACACACACGGAAGAAGCCCTTTAAATGCATGGAGTGTGGAAAGACTTATAATTGGAACAGTGATCTTACTGCTCATCAAAGGAGTCACACAAGGGAGAAGCCATTTAAATGCATGGAGTGTGGGAGGATCTTTACTCAAAGAAGTCATCTTATTTCCCATAATATGAGGCACACGGGAGAAACCGCAGAAATGCATGGAGTGTGGAAACATCTTTCCTGATAAACGTGAACTTACTCTTTCCAAAAGGATCCACATGGGAGAAGCCATTTAAATGAATAGAGTGTGGAAAAACCTTTACTTGGAACAGTCACCTTAGTTCCCATAGCAAGATCCACAAAGGGGAGTAGCCACATAAATGCATGGAGTGTAGAAAGACCTTTAATCTTAGAGATCAACTTACTTCCCATAAGATGGTCCACTTAGGATAAACCACATAAATGCCTTGGAATATGCAAAGTGTTTCAGTGATAATGTTTCCCTTACTTCCTATAAAAGGATCACCCTCGGGAAAAACTTTACAACTCCATGGAATGTGGAAACAGCTTCAGATAATAGTGTTTTCTTTAATAAGGAGTAGCCTTATCAATTCAGTGTGGGAGGAGCCTCAACAGGAATAGTAATCTAAAATCTCGTGCAAGGGTCTACTTGGATAATAATTCTTATAAATACTAGACGTACTTCGATATGATCCAAAGAAGACAAGTGAAGGCTCAATCCTTATTCTTTTAGATAAGTAGGAGGTTCTAAGGCAAAAATGAGAACCAGTGGAGATTAAGTGCATTAATAGGCCTGAAAGTGATGCATAAATATCAATATTTAAGTGATGCAGGTTCCCCAATCATTTCAAGAAACTCCCTCTGATGGATAGATAGATAGATAGATACTGTGGGCACAATGGCACACATTAAAAATGAAATTTAGTTGCTTGCTCTCAAAGTGTACACATCTCAAATATATCCACTAGAGCAGAGTTGGAGGTAAAAATGCAATTGGTCCTGAATCCCGCATTATAGTAAGCTTTCCTTTGCTTAATCTCTTCACAATCTACCTTTCTACCCTCCTTCGCATTATGTAATGCAAGAAAGAAAACCGTAAGGAGAATGGGGTTATAGTGATGCTGAAGTAGAAGATGCAACTCAGGCTGTGTGTCCCAACTGTGTAGTGATCTTTCCTCGCCTTCTCTCATGTTGGCTCCAAAATAAAAGTAAAGAGAGAACTTAAAATGTGCTACCCTAAAACATATTGAAGTATCAGCAAAGGAAAGGGAATTTTGGAAACTGAGCCCAGAAATACATTTAGGATAAGCACTCTAGGGATGTGTGGGAGATATTTGCTACATCTGAGTGTGCTGTAAAACACAAAACAATTACTGCTTCTTGGACATAAAAATAATTGAACTTGATTCTACTGAATAAAATAGGGATAAGAGATGGACAATAGGAACGAGAAAGTATTTTTCAATCAAAGTGTCTTTATGCCACAGAATCCACACCAAAAATCTATGTAAATGTACAGTATATAGCATGGAAAGAGCTTCAGAGGGAGAGTTTCCTTTTCATCAAAAGAGCCACAGTGATGAGAAGGCTTATAAATGTACAGTCTTCCGAGAAGCTGCCAAATTCTGCTTTGCTGTGGGGTTGAAAGGGGCTGGGAAAAGATAAAACAGATTGTATTACATTTACCTGTAACCTTAGATTAAATTAATAAAATACAATTTGTATGAATTTTTTTCTGTCATAGTTAATGATCTTAGAGCACATTACAAATGTGATTATTCTTGGAGGGACCATAATTGAAGGTTTTAGAGTCCAGTTTGAACTTGTTAACTGAAAAGTGGCTTAGTGATACTTCCTAGCATTGTGGAAATATCTGTACCTTTAAGTCTGTTCTAAAGTATTAGTTGTTCCTTTGCCTTCTTGAAGTAACATCTCTAACAGCTTTCTGCGCAAGCTAGAAGGTTTTAACAGCAATGGTTGAGCAGAAGTGTCTAAGCCAGTGGTTCTCAACCTTTCTAATGCCGTGACCCCATAATACAGTTCCCCATGTTGTGGTGACCCCCAACCACTTATACATCGCCGGGTGCCAGGGGCGTGGCCAAGTGGGCGTGGCCACCAAGTGGGCGTGGCCACCATGTTGTGTAGGCAGAATCTGCCCAATATTTGCTGAAATACATTGCACTCAGA